TGTAAACATCCTCAGGCGTTTTCGGCTCCATTATGTCCAACTCACGCGCCAAATTCAAGAAGTGATTGTTCAAGTGAGAGTTTGACATTATCTCGAATAGATCGTCGTCCTCCATCGTAGCCTCGTGTAGCTCCAAGAAGATTTGCTGGCGACCTAACATGAAGGCCAACTGCTTTTGCACAGAACTAGAAAAACATATACAGATCTTTTAATTCTGAAATTATTGATTTGAAAAAATAATCTTGGTTTTCGTACAATATATTAACAATTATCGCAGAGTATTAAGCGACACTTCCTCAGTGAAATCAATTTAATAAACTTTTGGATAAAAGGTTCTTTAAGAAAGTGATACTTACACGTCCCTACAATTTGTAAAAATAGACTCAATGAGCGACAAGTCGTTCAATTGCATCGCCAATCTGATCGCTTGCGGATATTGCCCGAATTTCCGGTACAATTTGCAAGAGACATTAAGAAGAGTACCGTTCTCCGGATCGGCTACATAGGGCACACAACTCGTAAGGTACAGGCATACTCGCTGATACACACTTTCGTCAACATACTGTTCCAACAGATCGAGCTTCTCAATCTCCATCAACAGATCACACGCTTCTGTTTCCGCATTGTGTGCCATGTTGTATGGAACAATATCATGCACCAGGGCGATCAATTTCTTATTCGTCGCTTCGACATTCTCACCCGTTACTTCATCCCACTCTTGAGCCAATTCTCCTGATAAATGTCTTACGTATTCGTGTCCCCATTCACCAATCGCCAACGCCGAGCCTGTGAGCCTATATTTTAAACACTCTCGGCCCTCACCCATGGTCATTGCCAAGACTGAAATAATGTCGGAACATAATTCCTTGCACTTAACATTGGTTATCTTCTCATAGATGTTCTTCATAACATCATAATGGGGTCGCATAAATTTTAGTGGTTTTGGAACACTTGTCATTGACGTTGTTGATGCGCGAATATGCGAACGCAAGGATTCCAGAGCAGGATAATGTAACTTTGTATTAGCATCCTGTAGACGCTCTACAAGCAAAGTTAGTTCTTCTTGCAAAAGCTTGTCTTCCTCTGACTGAAAATTAATATTAATTTTCCAATATATGTATGCATATATGTGTGTATTCTTTATCCAACTGTTAACACTTAGACTGTCCATAATATGGATGACAATTTTAATAACTTAAGTAAGAATTTTATTGGGGCTTATGGTTAAAATTAGCTGAACAGTTTAAGTGTTAAAAAAATGAAAATTATTCTAATATAAATTCTCAAGAATCTCCTGCTCTTTACTCTATTTTTACAAATAAAAAAGAATGATATAAAAAGCTTGTAAAATAAATTGTGATAAAAATAAGCTATTATTCAAATTACAAAATAAATGTCAGAAAAAACAGCTTTTATTTCAAATCAACAAAAATTAATTATAAGATAAATAAAAATACAAAGTAGCTATTTTATTTCATAATAATGTAGAAATGACAAATGCAGATTAAAAAAAAATAGTGGAACTATAAAATATCTGTTTTCGATAGTAACGCAACAATGCAATCGATGTCCTGCTACAGGCAAATACCGTACAGGCAAGACAGGTTAATTTCTTACCAGGTCATTTTTATCATCCTCCTTTCCGTTCTTCATCTCTTTAGCTGGCTTCGTTTCCGTTTTAGTACTCTCCGGCATTTTATTCAATTATTATTTTAAACAGATATGCGAAGTAAAAATACAATTCTTTCTTTGACTATACGCAATTTCAGGTTAGAGTCATTCAAAAGTGTTCAAGACGTTTTGCGAGTCACCATCATCGACGTATAACATAGATAAGCAACTGCATATTCGTTTGAGTCTCATTGGTAGCGAGACTCTTACTTCTAGGGTCTCTAGCTATTTCTACCCAATCATATTTCCATACTATTAAGCTTGCGCTACGGCCTAGTTTATTCGTCAGCGTTCGTTTATATCGGTGATTTATATTCGTCGATTTCCGTCATCGTTCGTCACAGGGAGTGTCTGGCGATGTAGTATCGCGTTTGTAATTAAACGCTCGCTTTTATTTGTAGCATTTTTATTTCTACCTTTTGAAAACTTAATTCTCCTCAACCAGTTTGAGGTTCAGTGTGTTTAAGTAAACATCTCGTTTTCGATTTTTGCATTCAAAGTGAGCCTAGTGAAGTTTATTGCAAGTTAAACGGGTTAACGAGGCGGCATAGGTTAAGAAATTGTCGACGGGGAGTGTCTCTTAAGAGCTGAATCAGTTCTGATCTCTTTCCATAATTGCATTTATTCTTTTAAACGACACTGTTAGTCAGAATTAATAGTGTGCTACTGTTGCTGAAACCCTAAAATGCTTAGTGCATAAATACAAAATGTCCAGAATAATGACTTGTTTATTAAGTACTGTGGTGTTTTCACTCATTCTTTTATTCCCTGCACTTGCACAACATGCCTTTTATCAACAGACTTATTATAAGTGTCCCCAACATTGGAAACAATTTCAAGATTCATGCTATCGTTTTGTCAAGAGCCCACTGAGACAACGAGAAGATGCACGAAAAAACTGCCAAGCATTTCAGAGTGATTTGCTTTCTATTCACTCACTGGAAGAGTACAGATTTGTGCTCTACGAGTTGATTTACCAAGATCCACAACATCGTAGATGGCTCACAGGAGTGAGGCTCATCAATGGCATATGGATAAATGAGGCTGACGGTACATCCATGCAAAATATGGATAATGCTTTTCTACCTGAACCTAATGACAATGTATTAGGAAGAGAATACTTAGCATATTCCTACTCTAATAGTCTTCAGCGTTGGGGATTAGAGAAAGTCACCAATAGAGAGGAGCTTTTATACATTTGTAAAGGATCTATTTCCATTCTTTATTATTTGGTAGATGATGATCGATCTTTTCAATATGGTCACAATATTGATAATCCCCTTCAAATACCTAGAGGACCATACTTCATAGTGCAACCCAAGAAGAGAGTGTTTGATTCATCAAGAAGAAAGACAAATAATGATATCTCATTGAGCTGTCTGGCAGGTGGATATCCTACCCCGACCTATGAATGGTACAAAGAAGAATATTTAAATGATCGGCTTGTTTCAATAAAAATAGATCCTATTAAAAACAGCAAGTATACTATAAGTGGTGGAACATTAATCATCTATGATCCAGCACAGGTACAGTTTTAAATTTTTTTTCTCTTTTCAAATGTTATAGTTTTTTTTTAAGTTTTGTATCACATTGTATATTAGTGAATTTGAACTATTTTATATATATATCACAATATTAATCATATTATTTATTTACAGAACAGAGATCATGGCATGTATCATTGCAAAGCAAAGAACAAATTTGGCACGATTTTATCTGAGAGTGTTGAGCTGTTATTCGGATACATCCTAGAATTTAATTTGAAACGTTCTGAAGAACGCGGAGATATCCATTGGGGTAAAACAATTTATTGCGATCCACCACAACATCAATCGGATGTAAAATATCTTTGGTCGCGCGATTGGGTCTTTCCTAATTTCGTCGAGGAAAGTAAACGTGTATTTGTATCGTATGATGGAGCACTCTACTTCTCTGCATTGGAAAGCGTTGATGAAGGAAACTATTCATGCAGTCTTCAAAACGTCGCGTCTAATACTGGACGCAACGGACCATTTTTCTCGTTATGGGTGGACTCGAGCAGTAATTATATCACATTGTATTTTAAGTATTTAATAAAAAAGCAATAAATTTAATAATTTTTAACATTTTTTAGCTTCTTATCAGCAGTTGAAGTTTCCCAACAATTTTCCAAAGGCGTTTCCAGAATCACCAATAGCCGGCCGTGAAGTTAGAATGGAATGTATCGCATTTGGATAGTAAGTTTATCCATAGTAGCTTGTGTTACATATTTTTTATATGTATAAAAAATATCAACTTTTGTAATTGTAACAAACAATTTATTCGCGCAGTCCTGTTCCATCGTACAATTGGACGAGGAGAGACGCTCCCTTGCCACGCGATGCACAAATAACAAGTGGGAATCGAGTGTTGATACTACGACAAGTACAAGTGGAGGATCAGGGCGAGTACATTTGCCGAGCGTTCAACGATCGACTGTCAATACAGAACTCCGTGTATTTAACTATACGAGCAGAGCCTAATTTCACCATACCGTTGGTTGACAAGCATATGGATAACAAGGCAGATCTAACTTGGACCTGTGAAGCGTTTGGCATACCAGACGTAACTTATTACTGGTTAAGAAATAGTGAAATCTTGAACGATACTTTACCGCACCAAGATAGAGATCGTTATACTATACAAGATAACGTACTAAATATAAAACGTTTGGATCCTGAAAGGGATCAGGCTATGTATCAGTGCTGTGCAAGGAATTCACTGAAGACGAGATGCTCATCAGCGCAGCTTAGAATTTTATGTGAGTATTTTTTCCACCCACAGTAGAAAGAAAAAACCGTAATCATTATTTGCCATCAGAATTCAAAGGATCCTTTTTACTTTCTTTCATCATTTTTTATCATTTTATGGATAATTTATAGAAATATTTAAGTAAGAATAGAAGTCAATATTTCATACAAATAGAACTGTTCAAAAAAAAAAATAATTTAAAATCTAAAACACACTGATGACATACTGAGTGTTAATATTCAATTATAGCGTGAAAGTCACTTAATGTTTCTTCAATATTCTAGCGTTGAAACCTTCTTTTAAAAAACGGCCTATGGAATCTGAGACATATGCAGCTGAAGGAGGAAATGTCACAATTGTATGCAAACCAGAGGCCGCGCCTAGACCGAAATTTATTTGGAAGAAAGACGGAAATGTGATTGGATCAGGCGGTAGACGAAGAATTTTGGATACTGGAAACCTTATCATCAGTCCGGTATCACGAGACGATGAGGGAACATATGTGTGCACAGCGTCGAACGAGTACGGCAGCGATGAAAGTCGTGGACGACTCATTGTATTACGTAAGATAATTTTTTCATATTTAATATTTGATATCTTTGAATTTTTTTTTTACTAAGGTTTTACAAATTGAATAATATAACAAATATAAATTAAATGTTAGGTGTTAAAACATTTAGTTGGTTTGCAAGGGCAGTATTTCTTATTTATTTATATCTAAATTCACATTTGTTCATTGATTAATTGTATAAAATTCTTTTATACAGGCGGAGCGGAATTTATCGAGAGATTGCCGCCAAGGATAGTCATGTCTTACAATGACAATCAGACATTACGCTGCTTGAGCCACACAGACGAATTATTAGATGTGGCTTATATCTGGACACACAACGGCATGTCTATCCGTGATGAAGACCTGAGATATAATCCGCGATGGAACATCAATAATGAATATCTGGATATTATAAACGCCACATATGCTGAAGCTGGCGAATATGAGTGCATTTTGAAAAGCGCTGTTGGCGAAATATCGAGTAGAACGAATTTGATCATAGAAGGACCACCGGGCCCGCCTGGTGGTATACAGGTTTTCAACATTGAAAGGAATTCAGTTACATTACGCTGGATTGATGGCGCCTTTAATGGCAGAGAAATAACTAAGTATACAATCAGCGGACGCACAAATTACAATCGCACGTGGTTTCCTATTGCAGAAAGTGAGTGCAAATTTTGTCTTCAACAATTATTATTCTTCACAGAAATTATCTCGACAATGAAAAGATGGATTACAATTCTTTTAATGTACTCGCAATTTTAATTTTTTGAAAGTTTTTTTTACACGTCTACTGTCTCTGCTTTATTCCGCATATTACTTTTTACCTACTTTTAGATATTACGGCCTATGAGGTGGATAGATACACCGGCCGAAAAGAAGCACGCATGGAGAACGTTTTGAATCCTTATTCCACATACGAGTTCCGCGTGCAGGCCTTTAACATATATGGTTACGGCCCGCCATCGACGTCCTCCCCTCAATATCGCACTTCGACCGACCGGCCTACGAAAGCACCGTCCAATATTGGCGGTGGCGGAGGAAATATCGGAGACCTAATGATTACATGGAATCCTCTCAGCCAGTCCGATCAGAACGCTCCTGGAATACATTATAGGGTATTCTGGCGCCGCCAAGGACTCAACGAATTCCAAACACAGACTCTGGAAAAGTTCGGGAATACTGGCAGATATTCCACAACAGTGGGTCGTGATAATTATTATATGAAATATGAAGTGAGAGTTCAGGCGATCAATGACATAGGCGAGGGTCCTATATCGGAAATAAAGGTTGTGTACAGTGCCGAAGACATGCCGCAGGTCGCGCCGCAATTAGTATATGCGATGTCTTACAACAGCACTAGCTTGAATGTTACTTGGGCACCGATCGAGCAGACTCGCGAGCGAGTGCGAGGCAAACTTATAGGCCACAGGATCAAGTACTGGGTGAAAGATCACAGTCGTGAAGAGGATTCTACTTACTACTTATCGCGCTCCACGCGTAATTGGGCGCTGATCGTTGGATTGCAGCCGGATACATATTATTACGTAAAGGTAAAGTACAAGACATTTTTTTTTATATAGCTTTTTATTTGAACATTTGTAAAAGGTTTTATTTAAACGAATAAATTATTTGAAAAGTACTACATTATATTTGAAAAAAGATTACTATCGAAATTAGCTAAAAAAAAGTATTTGACGCTTTAATAAATTGAAGTCGGGTGCGAATAATGATTATCAATTTTGTGAACTGCGAAGGTAATGGCCTTCAATTCCGCCGGTGAAGGTCCGGAGAGTGAACGGTACATAGAGAGAACTTACCGCAAGGCGCCGCAGAAACCACCGTCCTCGGTGAACGTGTATGGTGTAAATCCATCGACGGTGCGAGTTACCTGGCGCTACGTACAACCGAGTATGGATGAGGAGCCGCTGAAGGGATACAAAATACGCATATGGGAAGTCGATCAGGACATGAGCACGGCGGAAGACACGATCATACCGGGTGGTTCTAAACTGGAGGCCGATATCAGTAACTTAGCCCCGGGCAAGAGATACCATATGAGAGTGCTTGCGTTTAGCAATGGCGGTGATGGCCGGATGTCAAGCCCTACTCATACATTCCAAATGGGTGATACCGCAGCTTTCAGAAGCAACGCCGAGAATAAAATTTTAGACGTTACTTTATTGATAACTTCCTTGTTGTTCTTGAGAGTTTTCGGCTTTATATAGTATAAAATAATTTTTAATAACTACGATAGGCTATAATAACGATTATCATTAAATTTTGTACGATTTTTTTAAACAGCTGAAAAATTTAACGAAGACTAAAACAAATTGCAAAATAAGATTTAACAAGATATTATGGATTTTTTTTAACTCAATTTAAACCGCTTAAGTCATCTTATAATCCACTAAACCAATCGTGTTCTTGGCAGGCCAAAAATTAATATTGCTATATCACTAGTCAATGATGTAGCAGCTTTTGTTCTTAGCATTTTAACTCAGCACTTAAGTACTTCCAGAACTTCTTTTTGAGAAGGAAACCACAGTAATATGAGTCTATGAAGAGACTGAAATTGAGATCTGCATTTGATACAAATATAGCACGTGTAATATAATATTAAGTGTGCCAGTTAATTTTGTTTCTTAACCAAATTCTTTGTTTCCGATTAATGCAATAATGACAATTAAAATATTGATAGCTTCCAAAAACTGATTTTAAAGGGATAAAGTTCAAAATTGGCGGACAAAATTGAGTGGCACACTTAATACATAACAAGTTCAGTATAATTTTTATTCTATATAATAGAAAACAGATTTTGTTATTTTTGGCATACGTACTAATAACATTTTAAACTTCACAAACATTATATATAAGCATTATTTTTTATTATATGTACATGTGTACACAAGATATCAATAATTATGCAAACTTTTTATATATTTTTATATATTTTTTTTATTAGCTTGCATAAAAATTCGATCTTTGTTTAAGAAAATTATCAAGTCTCTGCTTCGTAACTCTAGAATTTTTATATTCTACCTCATTCCATGGTATATTCTCGAGATAAATGATGTAACTCGGAACACATCACATGTACATGTTGAGAATAGCATAATTTTCAAGATAATTTAAAAATATAAAATTCTGCATTTTTATTTTTGCACAGATGTTTATATTAACTCAATATTTCATGTATAAAGTGCATTAACAAATTTATTCTTCACGACGTACAAATTTGTGCTATATATAAGGCAGTTTTGTCTGTCTGTTAAGAACAAGGAGCATATTGATATCTGTTTGCCAAAAATAATGAGCATATTGATAACAAATGTTAACCATGTAATTATGTAAATTTGACATAAGTAATATGTGCATCTAAAATTATATGAATCTGATTAGATCCAATGCAAAAGAGAGGAGAGAAAATCTCATAAAGTAGAGGAACAAAGAGAATGCTCATAGAAATATGCGTTTTGCGTTAAAGAAAAAAAACATATATATTAATATGCTACGATTACTGACATTAAACGAAAATTAAATAATAACAACTAACAAAAAATGAGAATTAACGCGCTAATGTAAAGCAGTGTAATTTTCCGTCCATATATACAGAAGTAGATAATGAACACTAAACTAATTTTGACAATATAAATGCAAATGTTTGTTAATCACTAAATTATTCTAATACTGTAAATTTTTCAAACCTTGTTAATTAATATTAAATTGTATTTATTATAGTTATAGTTGATATACTAAACTTACGAACTTATAAAATTGCATTTATAAGCCTACATTATTTATTTTTTTAAAAATTTATGTACAAGATATAATCTTTTTTTATTATTTGTCAAAAAACGTAGCAGTATTAGAATAATTGAGAGATATTGTATAAGAGAAGTTTATACAAATTGTAATAGTGTTCACGATTTTATTACGAGATAAATATAAGTATTAGATATATTATTATTCAGGTACACCATTAAGAAACGTATATATTTACGTTTTAATACTTTTTTTTTTTAATAGTAATATAAGGAAGTTTTATAAATATGTTCATTATTTATGTCATGTATAAATATCAATAAATTTATACACAATATAAGTAATGAAGAGCTGTAGAGAATTATTAGAATCGCTATAATTGTGTCGCTGCCAGAGAAACCAATATCTGCTTGTCTAAAAGTAGGCACGATAGTAGAAGTTTCTCTATAGATTTATATTTTTTTTTATACATTATTGTATCACAAAATTTATATTACATACACATATATAATAAAACATTTTTACTTACAAATATATATAAAAATTGTAACATTGGTGATTTACCTTTTTGTGGTTTTATATATAATTCACTCACACTCATACATCACTCATAGACAAATGTTTAATTATTTGTATTTTTTTAATGTAATATTTAATTTATATGTATATTTTATATTATCAATTCTTTTTGCACGCGGCATGTGTAAGAATCCGAGAAACATCTCATTGCTGCTTATTGCATTCAAGTATTTGTGCTTATCATTATCCATGAATGCGAAAAGGTATCGTGTTTATGATGCGATGTTACTAGATGGCAGCACTGTTTTTGGAGCCTTCTTGATCATATGGTCATGTGCGTTTGATTTGTCCATAGCCGGCGATTAGCTCGTTGAAATTTTGTAGAAATAAGATAACAATATTGAGCAATACGGAATTGCGAATGTATGTATAATAGAGATTAGTGTCATACATTAGCATTGATTGCGATTCATACGAGCGAGAACAGAAGTAGTTTTTTTCTTATTCGGTGTGTGAGATTCTTAGAGGTTAATCATGCTGCAAATCTTTAGCCGCTCGATGCGCTCAGCGCAGTTATTCAGGAGGTGCACGGAAGTCACTTGTGTATCGAGTACAAGGAATTTAAATCTCTTGGAGTATCAGAGTAAAGAGCTCCTACGAGACTCTGGCGTATCAGTACAAAACTTCGCTATTGTCGATGATCTAACCAAAACAAATTCTGCCTTAGAGAAGCTACGTGAGTGTCCAAGTTTATATATTTGTTAAAAAAATATATTTTTTTGTACATTTAGAAGAAAACTATGCTTGCAATGTTATATTTTATGTAATGACTTATTAGTATGTTCATACATATTAACAATGCTAATACAGTAGTTGACTATAATTTATGTCGAAGTTGATATAATTATATGTATTATGCATTTTATAATTTATAATATATTTGTAATATATTTATAATATATTTGTAATATATTTATAATATATTTGTTAGGTACGGATGAATATGTTATCAAAGCTCAAGTCTTGGCTGGAGGTCGTGGCAAAGGCTGGTTTGATAATGGATTCAAAGGAGGTGTACATCTTACCAAAGAGTAAGTACTGATAATGTTTTTTATATTTTTATAAAAATTTTTTTTTGAATATCTATATCTATAAATAAAATATTTTACTTATCAGTATACAAATTTTTATTATGATTTAATTTTTCATAGTAAAATAGATAAATGTCATTACTTAAATATGAGATATAAAGACAAATGATATTAATAAAAGATAATAAAAGGATAATTTTTAATTCTTTATTATATTTATATAAATGACTTTTTATTTAATATCACTTGTTTTTGTTTTTCTTTTTTTTTTCTTAACAGTCGTAATGCCGTTGCAAATTATGTGAAGAATATGCTTGGTCATCGTCTCATTACTAAGCAGACTTCAAAGGATGGTATACTGGTACAAAAAATTATGATAGCTGAATCAGTCGATATTGCACGTGAGACCTATATCTGTATCCTCATGGATCGACAGCATAATGGTCCAGTGCTGATAGCATCTCCAGCTGGTGGAATGGATATTGAAGCAGTTGCCGAAAAACATCCTGAACAGATCAAAACCGTTCCACTCGACATTTATCATGGAATTGATGACGAAATAGCACAGGATGTGAGCACTTTCCTGGGATTCTCTGATCCAGATGTTCTTAAAAAAGCTGTGTATGAATTGAAAAACTTGTGGAAGCTGTTTGTAGACATTGATGCTTTGCAAGTTGAAATTAATCCATTGGTGGAAACAACAGACAAGCAAGTGGTAGCGGTAGACGCAAAAATCGCATTCGACGACAATGCTCAATTTCGACAACAAGACCTCTTTGCATTAGAAGATATTAGTGAGAAAGATCCCAGAGAAGTGGACGCATCGCGATTCAATTTAAATTATATTGCTATGGATGGCAACATAGGATGTTTAGGTAAACATATATTTTATTATTATTGTGCACAGTAAATAAATTAAACTTATAAAATAATTAGAAAGTAAAAAATAAAGCAATATTATGTTAATCTATTATAATTTATACATCTGTGTATTAATACATAAATTTTATAAAATGATATAAATATTTAGGAACGTATCTTTACATTTTGCATATATAGTTAATGGAGCTGGCCTAGCTATGGCTACAATGGATATTATCAAATTAAATGGAGGATCGCCAGCTAATTTTCTTGACGTTGGTGGTAGTGTGAAAGAGGATCAAGTTTTCCAAGCGTTTAGAATTCTCAGTGAAGGTATGCAGCGGGACAAATAGGACAAATTGGGATGCAAACATGAAATGCAAACAAATTTATTGTTTTAGATCCAAAAGTTAAAGTTATTCTTGTTAACGTTTTTGGAGGTATTGTAAATTGCACGACGATAGCGAAAGGAATTATTACAGCATCACGAAACTTAGGACTTAAAATACCGCTTGTTGTGAGACTAGAAGGTGAGATATCTTTTCTTTCTATTTTTTATTTTTTTGTTTTCTTCATTGCGATGTATCGAAATCTTATATTCTAGAATTCTAGACCATTTCTTTGTTTAAAATATAAAATTTACTTCAGAATTTACATTAGAATTTTACATTATAACATTTGGTAAATCTAGAATTTTAGAATATATGTATTTACTGCAATGTATTGAAATAAATTTTAGATTTTTTTCTAACGATTATTTATTTAATGACTAACGATTATTTATAGGCACTAATGTGACAGAAGCTAAGAAAGTTTTAGCCGAATCTGGATTACCTATTCTCACAGCGAATAACTTGGATGAAGCGGCGAAAAAAGCAGTAACATCTGTGAAGGCGTAAATGTGTTGATTCGATAATATGGTGCCGGCTCATCTAAGACTGAAAACCTATCGTTTCACTGTAAGGGAACAATAATTTTACGCAAGAAACTTGGGTAGAGGAATTATTTCTATAGAATTTTTCGTAATAGAATTTGTCCGAATACTTCCATATTAATTTTTTCATAGCATTTTGAATTCAATATTTGCACTCGTTATAACATCGCATATTAATGTATAATGTTGTTGAACTTTTATACATTTTATTATTCAATTATGAATTATTTTATCTGTTGCTATAGCCTTTGATTTGAAGTTGATTTTAATCATTGTTCAGAGTAAATTTATCTCATTAATTAATATCTTCAAGATTATAATTTATGTAACGATATAAAACTGTACTTGTCATTAGAATTTTGAAGTCATGCTTTGTTTAAACAAAGTTAGAATGTATATCATTGCCTTATTTTATTTTTATACATTTTAGATTGTTGATTCAAATATTGAACATTCGTACTTCAACAAGTAAGAGTCTTTATACAAAATAAGGATTCAAAAGTGATATTGAATCCAAATATAGGTTTTGTTAGCGATATTTGTCTTGAATTATCTTTCCAGATTTGTTTTGCTGCTAATTCTCATTAAAGTGTTTGTCTATTTTATTGCCTTGCGAACTGTGCAAGATCGAGAAATGCAAAACTTGCTTGATAATTATAGTTTACGTTGATTAATTTATTATGTGATTGACTTATTTTTGCGAGTCATTATTACATAATGAATGGAAACAATTGTGTTCAATTTCGCATAGTTAAAATTGGCGGCGATACTGATAAGTGTTGTGCATGTATATACATATCTTGATGTGTAATTTTATCCTTTTTTAGTTTTGTAAATACATTTATTTTTGTTGGATGGATTTATACCGTTTTATATTGAGAACAAAAATAAATATATTCTGCTTAAATCTTTTTAGCAATTCTGATTTTTTCTCGTTATCTTTTGTTTCAATATTTTGCCATATGGAAATTTTGAGCTTTTTAAGCTTTAATTCTATTACTTATATTTTAAATCTTTAGCACATTCATGACAACTGTTTTTATTAAATCTATACTGTATGAAATATGCAATAAAATTTGAGAAAGAAGTATGAAAAAAATAAAAAGAAGAGAATTTATATTTCTAAGAAGAGAATTTATATTTATACGATTTAAGGAAAATTTTTCATTCTATTTCTGATTGATTTATGCGAAAAATGCTGTAGAGAGTCGATTTTTCTTTTAAGAGAACTATATGATCATTTTTTCAAAAACAAAATCGAACTGTTTCGACATCTGCATAAATCAGTCGATTATAAAACAAACGGGATGGAAAATTTTTAGCCTATCTATAACGCTTATCAATATTCTCTGATATTTTATTGCATATTTTAATTATACATTTTTTTATGTATAATTGTATGTATGTAGCGTTTTTTACATAGCGGTAGCGGAAATGATAATCAGAATTCTTAGATAAGCCTGTACATTCATATCGCTTTCCATCATCTGTAATCATCGCCGTCATCAAGAAGTACCTGAGAATTAATCAAATCGGAATTTTGTTGAAGAGAGTAATCTTCGCGTCGAACGTATCGAAGACTTGAATGCTGTACTTAAGACTCGCCGACTGCACGCGATGGCAAGAAGAAGGAGCAAAAGCGGGCGTGCAATTGGTTTTTAGTCCATGTATGGTCGTTGCGTCTTTATAAGTAGAAACTCTTTCGGTGAGCAGCTAAGCGATAACGCTCGCGCGGCGCTCGCTCGTCTCGCCGAGAGAGCGGTCCATATATGGGCAGCGATTTTTAGCATAAGACCCAAGTGTACAGCGCGCGTGACTTTTTCTACCTTTCGAACGGCGCGTGTTAGTGGGTCGCACTTTTTATAAATAGACAAGCGAACACCGATACGCATAATGTTAAAAAAAAAACGCGAAAAAGTGTTCGGGAGAGCGGAAAGATACGCTTCATTTAAAAATAAAACTTTTTTTAATCTACTATCGTTTCGTCACTTCTCGCTCTCTCCGAACATTTCAACTTTTTCGCAAAATAATACGTCTTTTAAAAACGTCAATTATATATAAAGTGTAACGTATATTGTGTCTTCTGCGCTGTTATTTAAAAGATGTTTTATAGATTTCTAATGGATGTTCAGTATTTTGGCGGAATATTGCATTTCAAACATTGCGATCGATCGCAATCGCTGAAATCGCTAAAGACCGATTCTCGCAACTTAATATCGCGACGTATCGCTGCATGGCGCATCACAATGACTGTTTTAATTTTTTCTTTTGATGTCACGCCAACCAGCGGGCGACTCGTTTCGCTTTGTTTCCTTCATATACGAATATAAACCCGTTTCTCGCACGCATCTCGTGTCTCTCAAGAGGGAGGACCGCGGGGTCTCGATGCGTGTACGTACACACATATATATATAGATCGACCCCCTGCCTCTAGGGGGCGGCGAGGGAGCGCGTACTATTCTCGGACAACTTCACGAATCCGAGTGAGAATTTCTTTCGACGTGCCGTTCGACTCCCGGTTCGCGGACGGCGTAAACGTCAGTAATCGCCTGTGAACCGTGCCGTGACGATCGGAGGCGTCGCGTCGATCCGAATCGAAGGAGATCGCGAAAATCGCCACCCTCTCACCGCTGACGTATGTACGAGATTCGCGCCGGCACTCGGTCCCGGTTGCATCGACACTGGTTAACGCTCCAATCGCAATTTACTTTGGATAGAAGACAACCGATTTTTCCGAGACGGAAGTGAAAAAGGAATATTAAGGTATTGATAAAACGATCGCTAAAAAGTTACGCATTTGCGCGTGAATTTGGTGCGAGACACGACCGTGTCTCTTGATTAATTCCTTTCTATGACTCGAACAGTCAGGAAACGACACCATTTTTTATTTTGAAATACTGTATCATTTTGCTATTTTAGGCAGATGATACTGTGTTAATTTATTCTCAGCGAATATTTGAAAGATTATACGAGTTTCTCAAATTTTTGATATTGTGTACGGTAGTAATTAAACCCGATAACATATTTATTAGAATGAATCTGTCTCAAAAATTTATCGTCGGAAAAGATTATCACGTGACTGCAAAGGAGGTTGGTGTTCGTCATTTGTTTACAATTTATTCTTGAATAGCGATCTGTTTTGCTCGTGATCACGATTTTACTTGCTTACAATTTGTTGATCACGATTGCATCTCGTTTTTGGAGAATGGTAGTGCGGGAAGAATTTTAGTGGAACGAGATCCATGAACACATTCCATACACAGTCTTTCGTGGATCGTTGAATGCGTGCGAGGTAAAGAATATACTTCCGACTCGACGAACGAGTTTTTGTGACGTGATAATTTTTTTTCCGTTTATTCATCCATTTGGAAAGAATTTTCAGTGTCGAGCAGAGTTCGATAAAAGGGTGCTGTCTCTTTATTCTGTAAATTCTGTGTCATATTTTATTAAATTTAAATAACTTTAAATAACTAATATATCTCGCTGGTTTGGTAAAATAACTTTTTAGGAAATTTGTAAATTTTATTATGGAATTGTTCCAATAATTATTTAAAATGATTTTTTATGTTACATTATGAATGCATCAATTAAATGTTTAGAAATTAAAAATGTTTATATATAAACACATCATCCGTAAAAAAAATTTTTTACAAATTTTTTAAAAAGTTATTTTGCAAAATCAGTTAGATATATTGATTATTTAAAGTTATTTAAATTTAATAAAACATAGATTATTTATTTCACAGCATTAAATAATGTTGTTCTTGCCAAAATTTTTATTATTTGAAAAGCTTGGTTTGAAGAAATGAAATTGTATTTCAATACAGAGACAGAGTCGGTGTAATTTCTTAAATCGATGACAGCTTGATCGGCCTATGTTCGCGTGAAGTGGTATTTTATCTTGAATCTCCTTCTCGACTTCGAAGTGCTGCGATAAAAAAATCGTATTTTAGTATCATCGCGTCATCTTGTAAAAACTTTTACTGATAACAAAGTGTTGAGGGTGCAAGAGAAAAGAAATTATAGAAGAATTTAACAATTGAAAATATATAAATGTTTGCTGTTAATAGAAAAATTTACTTATTTCGAGAAAACGCATATCAGCGACTCGTTGATTTTGCACAAAAGATGCTGGCTCGACAGTTTAGAGATAGTTTTAGCGGAACGACTATCTTATTAATGAAAATTCGGTATTGAATTCAAAAATCGTCTTCCTGTTGATAGATCATGTTATCGCGAGATATTGTCAACTTAACAATAATGTGTGAAAAAAAGAAAAATTATGAGCAAAACAGGAACAAACAAATTATAACAGAAACATAAATAAACAACCGAATAAAGGCGGATGTTTGTTAATTGTCAAATAAATAAATTCCGAATTATTTGTAACATTCAAATTATTATTTGTTACTAAATACAATGTGTGATATAAATATATTAAATATGTATCATCGCGAATTCTATCGACAATGTGTTATTAAATGCAGAGAGTATTAAAGAATTTGAATGTTAAATGAAAGAGAGAGAGAGAATATTAATTGAGAAAAATACCAGAGAAAAGAAATTAATTAATATATTCTTTTTCACATATTTAGATACAATTTTTGTCAAATATGTGTGAAATAATGTGATTTTGCATCGTAAAATTTTTTTAACGCAAAAAATAAAAAATTTTTTATTTTAATAATTCGAGATATATGAAAGAGAGTGTATTTTATACGATTATGTTTACATTTTGTGGTTATTATTAACTTATACGCAAATGTTCCATCTCGATGCTGTAAACTAAACCCGATGATGTAAATTAAGACGCCTCTTTGTAAAAAGATGACCTACAAACTCTCTATTCAGGTTTCAGAGACAATGTTCGCGCTTATGAAGTTCATCTTTCGGATGTAATATCAGACCTTGGAAAAAAGTCACATATATATGCGCGTACCAAAAATAACTTGGCATCTCGCCGTGCGTCGCGAATCGTAATTTAGCGTGCGTCCGATTAATTTTCTATTATGTGCGAAAAATTCAACAGGCATTTAGAGAAGATAAAGACTTTATTTTAGAGCGAACTTATATCTCTTACGAGTAAACTTTTTAATAAACTGGAATATTTTTCTCTGTTAGGATCTAAATCTAAACGCTATTTTAGTATTGAAACTGTAATAAATATAGAGAAGTGTACATAAGTGTACGAAAAAAACATATACGAGTAATTTTCTCTGAATGTACCGCTATTTATAATTAGGCAGTTTATTTATGGACAGACCGAACGTAAGTCACGTTGAGGCGGGACAGTTTAGCCGAACACGTGCGCGAATCTTCATTCGAGCGAAACTGATCGATTCGATGCACTTTTATGAACTCGAATTAATTGCATTTAGACAATAAAACTGAGATTTTTATTGACAAAAAATAATATATCAATTTCTCGCTATCTAAATTGCTATTTAAATTTGCATTTTTATTAAAACATTTTATTCTCCAAACTGTCCAAACTAATAATTTTACTTAATAGTTTTACTTTTAATAGTTTTACTTAATAGTAAGTTAATTCTAGTTATAAATATATTTATAATTAATAAATTTATTTTTAATTATTACTAAAATGTACAATAATTAATTAATAATTGTTATCGCATAATATAAAATCGTTTTCTCGCTGTATTTTATTTCTCATTTGGTCGATTCGATTAATTCGATCGTTTGCAATCTTTTAATCGTGACATTTCGCGGTGCAGGTGGAATAGTCGCTGTGTGAATCAGGACGAGCAACCACCCTGAAAAGGCGCTTCAAGGAGACGATACACTTCTCTCAAGGAAAGCATCTCGACTAACGCGTCCTGAGTGATCCAAAGTGCAATTTCTGTTGGTGAACAGATTTCGCGACTCAACGGAGATCGCGCAGAAACGGAGTTGCTCCAGCTGATAGCCAGCATCCTATACACATACGCACGTACGCTCACACGTGCGTCCGATTTGCCGGCACACGTACGTGCGGCAGCGCAGGTAAGTTCACCGATAGCCACCTCTTCTTCGATTGGTTTACAGGTGTGCGTATTTGAGCTAGTGATGGACATAATGGTCTTTTGAATGATCGCGATGTTTGTTGCTATGTTATTCATCAAATAGATTTGTGTGGAAAAATGATAAAGAATAGTAATAGAAAGATTAAATATATATTAGATATAAATATATAATATATAGAACAAATATTGTATATCGATTGGAATAATTATATTGATTTATTTAATTATGAAAATATTAATAAATTCTTAGATTAACACAAAATTTAAAAAATAAAAAAAAAATAAAATTTTTTAACAATTTAAAATTAGCACAGAAATTTAAGAATTAAAATTAAGAATTAAAAAACTAAGACATAATTAAAATTATATTACAATTTTTTACGTTGCTCGAACTTTTTATTAAATTATAGGTCTTCGCTTTAGAATTTATTTTATTATTTTTCTTTCCATTTTGCAAAACAATAGACAAACAACGTTTTTAAGTTAATTTCATAAAATTATATTGCGACAATTACATAATATTCAATAGATATGAAGATCAGCTGAAAGTCAGCTGGTGATCAGCAAATAAAGTCAGCTGTAGGCTTTGAGTTTACATAACAGCTGACATAGACCATACATAACACTGGAGCGAAGCTTCCTTAAAATTCCGAGCCAAGTTTGTGCCCATCACTACTCTTCGAGTCACTAACACACCGATTGTACTCGTCACTGATAGTACTCGTGATTACCAACACTATAACCCGCAGGCACTAATACAGGGACGCGCATCCCACCACCCTCGTTCGTGAGAACGTAGCAGCGGACCGGCCGATAAAATGAATGAGAATGATAAGTCAGTTAAGTGCGAGAACTCCGCCGAGGAGGAGGAGGACGAGATGTACGAGCGCGAGCTGGCCGAAGACGCGCAGTGGAAGCGGATACAACAGAACACCTTTACGAGATGGGCGAACGAGCGACTGAAGGCGATGAACAAGCACATCGGAGACCTGGAATGCGACCTGTCAGACGGTCTCCGACTGGTGAGTCTCATCGAGGTGCTCTCGCAGAAGCGGTTGCCGAAACACAATCAGCGGCCCACCTTTCGCTCCCAGAAGCTGGAGAACGTATCCGTCGCTCTCAAGTTCCTGGAAGACGAGGGCATCAGGATTGTCAATATCGGTGAGTAATTTCATATGCATGCATCTGGTCCACGCATTTTGAGAATAGATTCGTCCTTCGTCTCCTTTTCGCTTAAAACAGATTAAACTAATTGTTTGAAGGTGAGCGCTATCGCGTTGACGGAAAGACTTAAATGTAGTGAATTAAATTTTGATGAAGTCATTAAAATTAAATAAAAACAACTAAATTTCGAAAGAAAAAGAACAATTAGTAAAATAGTTGTTATTTATTGCAGAATTATATGTGTGTGTCTGCTGTAGAAATATTATTTTGAAACTATTAATTAGCATATGGTAAACGATTTAATAATACTTTACAGTCTTTGTTAAAGAAAAAACAGTAATTTTGAGAAATAATAGTTATGATGCGTGTAGATAAAGTGATTATTCTATGAAATAATGTTTGACATGCTTCTCGAATGATTAATTTCAAATTTATGGCCAATCCTCTGATTTTTCATTTATAAATCTCTCGATAAGTTACACCACCACGTGGTAGTTACAACTGCCACGAGAGACGAGACCGAGCCTGCGTCGTCTACACATTTTACGTAGATTGGATTTATCGATTCCTAGATTCCTGCGCTTTTTAGAGGTTTGCCAATTTTTCAAGCATTTAGGAGAGTTGTATAAGAAAATAATTTTCTGAAAAACAAAATTATTAAATTAATTAATATAAAACTATATTTTGGATAAGATAAGAATTTAAATATTGATGTGTATTGACATGATCAAGCAACACGCAAATGTAAACATTACGGAAAGATACTTTTCCATCTCTGTTTCCCATACAAGAATATAACTGAATTTTATTTGTTCGTGAGAAATATCGCGGGATTATTATTAAATGATTATATGACTTTTATTAAATATTATTATTAAAACGGTAATTTATTAATTACTGAATATCAATATTTTATCATTAATTTATATTATCAATTCACTTTAATCTAATGCATTACGCTTCGTATTTAACAAGAAATTATTTAAAGATATTAACATAATAAATTTTATTATTTTAATAAAATTGAAATTACACAAATTTTAATAAAATTAAAATAATAATATAAAAATAATCATGAAAATCAAATAAGACATAAATATAAAAATGAATACAATTCTGAAAAATTAATTAAATTAAAGGAAAAATTAACGCTATATATGAAATGTTATCTGTGAAAAAATAAAACAGGTAAATTACACGCGGTACATTATGCATGATCTTGCGAGATCTTACAGAATATTTCTGTATTTGCACGACTACATTACACGACTACATTACACGAAATTATTTAACTTTCAAAATCGTCGCATTTCTTCATTACGCTTACTCGTAGGATTGTAATACAGAATGTAATTTTATACTTTTATTTATTTAAGCAAATAAGATTATTTATCTAATCAAATCGAATTAATAACCGTGCAAAATAATATTAGTTCCAAGTATACGCTTATTTGTATGATAAAAAATGTAGTCGAAAGCTGCAAAAGAGCGATTAGTCAACAAAATTTGAGAATAGGCGTCAGCAAATAAATAGTCGCACATTTTGCTTGCGTAAAGATTAATATAGATTTGGCTGATAGAAAGAGAAATTGCGTAATGCGATACGAAATGAGATTTGATCAATATTCGATCATGATAACGAAAAAAATATTTACCGCTATTGCTGAGTTTTTCAGATCTCAGATAAATTTAAATCTTTATCAGATTTAATTTCATCACTTTGTAAACAGAGATAAAAAATAAAAAATCTTGACAATTATAAATAAAAAAATTGCGCGTTTTAAAATATTCTTTATTGCGAGGGAAATGTGTGGTTGATGTATGTGGACATATGTTTACATGTTTCTGCTTTTGAGATCAAGCACGTTAGAGCGCAGTTGCATTGAGCGGCGAAATGAAAGCGATTGTAGAGCATGGTGAGAAGGTTGTGGATCGATGACGCTCGCCCGGGCTACCCGGGAAACTAAAGGGTAGTGATGGGATAATATCGTTCACGTGTTTTTCGCGGGTGAGCAAACTGATGTTGTATCTCTAAGCCATCTCTGCTTATCCGTTTAAATCCAGTTAAAAGCCTCGATAACGTGACATAATTTTTAAATTAAACAACGGCATGTTTCAGTTTCTTAATATTTATTTATGTATTGAGCGATTTGGAAAAAAATCTTTAACGTAATAATATTAATCGTTATATAATACTAATAGTTTTTATAATCAATCAATTTTTTGTCTTAGTTAATGAATTATTATTATTTATTAACTATAAGAATTTGTATAAGAAAGTAAAGTTTTAATTTTAATATAATTAGAGAATGAATCTCTATGCATAGTAGATGTTCTTTTACACAATTTTAATTCAAGGATATTGATTTATAAAGAAAGTTTCCAGCTGAATATTAAAAATTTATGTAAAGAAAAACTGATCGTGCCAAGTTTTCATTGTGATCTATATGGTTTGTCGAGTCTGCGCTATCAGTCTGACCACGTGTACGTCTATAACCACTTGTTGGCAGAAGGCTCTAAGAGAAAGACAACGCTACCGCGCGATTATTATTTCGTTAAAGACAACCTTCATTTTTAACTTGTGAATAAAACATCAAGCAAAAATTATGAAATGAGAAAATCGGCTATTTGAGAAACAACATCGTATAATTTTAAGAACTCATATTTACATTGACAGATTGATAATTAGTTATGCGACATCATTACAATTTGTCACATCCTTGAGCAAGATGCTCGACTGCTAGTGACGCAATTGAATATATCACCGATGATGTCACACTACGTTCTTTAACCTGCAACTGTCATATCGTCCGAGAAAAACATACTAATGAACACAAGTGTGCAGTCGTATATCCTAAGAAATATTCTTAAATCCTGTACTTATAAAAATTCTTAAAAATTTTTTTTCGATTAATTCGAAAAAAAAATTAACTTAACTGTTACTGCTGATTTCTATTCATGAAAATTGATTCACAGATTTATAGCAGAGCAAACGTGTGGATGTAACTATTTATGGATTCTGTGATTTACAGAAATATTCAAAAGCCATCATATACTAATTAAATTGTTTATAAATGCAGTATGAAAATTTATGCACATTATTTGTTATTTGTTGCAGTTTGTTAAATCGCGCTAATGTAACGTGAACATTTTTCTATAAATGTTAAAAATATGAAAGATAAAACAATGGAAAAATGAATGAATTTTAAATGTTGAAAGATAAACAGATTTTTGTGTTTGAGATAAACGAAGAACTGAGAAAGGTAGACCAGAATTGAATAAAAAAACGTTGAGAATTAGCAAAAATTATGTTTACAATATTTCACGGCAAAACTGACTGCAAGATTAGAACAGGAATGATAAACACAGAGAATTAATCGATGTTATTAATAACCAATGACATTAATTTTCAAAGCATTAATCAATAGATGGCAAATAAGTTAAACAGAAAAATTTAAAGAAACATTTAGCAAACAAAGAATAAAAATAAAGACAAGTAGTGAACGTTACATTAAATAAACGAAATACAACTTTTGAGGACAACTAGAGAATAATAAATTAATCAACGGAATTATTATATGAATTATAATCGAAATCGTATAATTATAGTCTTTATTTATTCAGTGGAGTTACAGAGTTCGTTATTTGTGTGAACATATAATTTAAAAACTTCAATACTTCTTGAAAACTTAAATGAAGCAGACGTTGAATTGATCAAACTAACGAACATATCATCCATTTCCTCATTTCTCAGTTTGTTTCTCATTAACGAACTTACAATCAGGTATTAGCGAGCCGTGAACTTTCATGCTTGAGCGCAGTTCTTGAGAACTTTGCAAAAAGTTTATATCCTCGCTCAAGTAAGACTAATGTGTCTGATGTTTAGTCATCGCAATCTCAGTCGAGATGTAATCGAGGACCGTGGTATTAATGCCACTCGGTTATCGGATATCAGCGGAAGCTACAGTCGCTGTTACGCGACGGGCGCCGTGAAACCCGTTCGGAACGTATTCTGCGGGGACCACCAAAGAGCAAAAGAAAGAAAGTAGACGGTCTTATATGTAGATTGGGTGAAGGTCAAGCTCGCCTTGGTACCACGGACGTCTTCGCGTTTATTATGTGACCGATTCTTTGGTCTCTCGTTCTGCTGACTGAATACGCGTCTCTTTCGTCGAGCGGAAATGATCTCTCGACGTTTCTTCAATTGTGGCCGTTTTCGAAATACTTTTGTAGAGCATTAATGTGATAATATAATTAATCAGCATTGATATTTCGAGATGGCTTTTTCTGTAAAAGATTACTAAGCGTAAAAGACACAAAAGAGGCTTATGTGATAGTGCCTTGTGCTACTTTACAGCACAATGTAGTTTTAGTTACTTAAGAAAATAACTGTAAGCTTAATATCTGATTATGAATAGATTAATTAGTAATTTGTTTATTAAAATTTGCAAAAATCTGATATGCTCGTATATAAAACTGACGATTAGATCAATAATAATTTTTATTCTACATTTTAAAAAAGATTTATAAAGTTTTACATATAAGCGATTTTTATTAGTTGATATGTCAAAGAAAAGTATTATAGTTAGTCGAAATTTGCTTTTAATATAATTGGAGTTATAAAAAGCAGTGATGTGTCAAATAATTATATTTCTACGCGTAATTAAATGTTTGCAGCGCGTATATTCAGAGCGATTACTTTCACTCTCGAACGCAACCTTGACATTAAGGGATTGTACTCTTTATATATAAATTGCGTGAGACGTGTGTATTACACACACGCTAATTTGAGTTCCGACGATTGTTGAAATATATTCACCCGTTATATTTTGACGTAATCATAAAAATATTTTGCATGTATAAGTAAATACTTTTAGCTAAAATATTGTAAAATATTTTTTATCTATTTTCTGAGATAAAAATATTATACACTTTTTTTAAACTTTTAAATATTTTATAAGTTTTATAAATTGCAACATTTTATTTTTGCTCCGAGCTATGCAGAAATATAAACTTAATATAAATAAATGATATATTGTGCAATAATGAACATAAATAAATATAAAAAAACAATTGGATTTTATTGGAATTATATTCAATCAAAGAAAGGAAAATTTTCACATTTGAGATGTGGTTTTTTGTTTGACACACTTATCGATCGCATCTTGGCGTTCGAAAAGAAAAGAATGCATTGGCAGAGATTTAACCTGGCATTCTCTCTGCTCAGTGAGGTAATCTCTGGAGGATCAATGACGTCACCGTCTAAACTCGCCATGGGATACGTGTCGCTGGAAACGTCACGGGCGAGTCTATGCACGATGCTCGTTCGGATCTTTTAATTGCTCGTTAGAATAAGTGATTCAACAACTCGTATATGTCCGAGCTATTTATAACATTACACATAACTTTAACATTTTGAAGAAAAGTCTACGTATAATCATTGTATAAGTATGCGTTTGATTATTAGTTATAAAATTTCTTTCGGTTAATTTAGCGCAAGAAATAATCGAATTAATTATTGCTATTTTTGTTATAGTTCTTTTATTTATAATACTTATCTTTCCTACAATTTGCAACTCAATTTTTCTATTTTAGACTCTCTCGCTTGTCTATACAGCATGTTTGGAAGAGAATTCAGGAATTGAAAGGTTTATATACGTTACCCTGATTCCGTCTGCTCATTCTTCTTCCTTGATTTAAGTGTCGCCGGAAACGACGTTCACGATGATCTGTTTGGGAGTTCTCGTTTTATACAACGAAAATTCCCGATCCGAGAATAGATCATTCCAACTACTGTCGGCCAAATGAAAGAGCAATAAAAAGGCCCGTTTCTGGACCCACGATTTTAATTGTTTCTTTTTTTCAACGAGCGATCCTTGAATTCTCGGAATCTATCGCCCTTCGACTCCTGCTAAAAGATTCCAGGATGCTAATGCTGTATATTTATGACGGGGACTAGACCGTATATTTATTGCATCATCGAATTTGACTTTGAAGCTCGCTATTCACGACGAATGTTTGAACAGCCGTCTCGTTGATACAACGGTGAGATAAATTTTTACCGTCGTTCTGCGAATCGTAAAATTTTAAATCTCCGGTAACTGCTCGTATGCATGTTTGATTTTTTAACCTTTCATTTAATGGCTTGTATAAGTCGCAAAATGTCGTAAATATTGGTAAGCAATTTATTAGTTATATATAATAAATTTACAGGAATTAATATAGAGATAGAGAATACTTTTAATTTTCGAAATGTAGGAACATAATTCTATAACAGACATTCGTATAATAGCTACTTTATAAATATTTTCTTATCTAAGAAAGTAAAACATCTGACTGTGGTTTATCATTTTATTAATGTTAAGATTCTTATTTAAAACTGCATTTTCTTTTAATGAAAATTTACCTCTGGCTTTTATTTGCACATATGAATGTAAATACCATGGAAATTTGTTGTGTGGAATTACTAAGGTCGAATACCAATCTTACTGTCGACATTTCCAAAATTAGTATCACGATGCAATTTTGGCATGTAATCTCGTTAATGAAATTTTGATCACTATCTCATTCTACCTCGATGCATTTTAAGCGCAATTGCTATTTCTATATATTATAAGATGCTATCGCATCGTCCAAATTGTTATTTATTATTTGCGAGATGCAGATTTTTATAATAACAGTTTCACAGGCAATATCATAAGATAAATTAATATCGTATAGTACGAAGTAGTGCGAAGCTTATTTTTATTTTCTAGAGAATTATGCTTACGAGCAATTAAAGCGAAAGATCGTATCTTATTGCAAGAATTGTTCTCTATAAAGATCTATAGCATTTGTGGCATTGGAAGCAAACATGTCCATTACCTAGTATCAAGAGGAATGTAATTGGCTTCTCTTTGCTTTTTGCTCATTAAGATGCGTTGATTGCCAGTGAATTACTGCAGATGAAAAAGCAACACGCGATTCGTCCAATCTCAATTCTCTCGTTTATATATATATATATATATATATATATATATATATAGATCGATCCTTTTAATGAGAATTTTTTTATTATCAAATTTTTTAATTTTATATATCATACACATAGTATTACAATAACTAAAAGAGATAAAAATTGTAGTTGATTGGCAACTTGAGAAATTTATTATATTGACTGAAACTTTCTTTGCAGTATACTTACGAATGCATTTCTGTATCTCGGTTAAGTAAATTCGAAGGACAGACTCGACAATGGATATTCATTTCGAGTGTTCAAACAAAAGGGTACCTCCTTTAGTCGCATTTTCATGCATATTACGCGCAGAAAAGTGCATAATAACATTACTACATATTTGTATGCAAATATGAAAATTAATATTATCAAAAATTGTTGATAAAATTTAAAAACATGTCTTAATATTATGTACATTAATTTTATAATACAAGATAATATTCTTTTCTCTAAAAGAAAATATTTTAGGAAAAGTAACTTCTCTTTTCGATGTGATATAAAGATGTTAAATTTATGTATTGGTTCGAATTGTTTGTCATGCGGAAGCGCGCGCGCTGTGTTATTTATGTGGGTGGAAGACCGCTCGAGAATCTCGGAGGCTCGGCGTCGCAGGGTGAATTAGCTGGCGCTTAGCTGGTCCGCGTGTCACGGCGTTAACTACGTTTTTGCTGACATCACTCACTTAGCTCTCGGTAATTGCTGAAAATAGTCCGGATGAATCGTCATCGGCGATTCCGCGTCACACGAACAACACCACGGCGCGACGGTGAGACAATGTCGAGTGTCGACGGATGCCAGAAATAATCGCGGCGACTCAGATTCGTCTAAATTTGCGCAATCAAGTGCATTTTCAGCGTTATTTTTAAGTGATATAATCACGGGCTTTTTTTACCCTTGCGCAGAATATCGGAGCGTCAACGGAACGACGCGCTTTGCGAGAGAGTAACTATTAGGGTATCAGAAGGCAAATGCTTGTTATGCAAATGCTTCCGCTGTACGTGGTTGTATATCGCTGTAGAACTGTTTACACTACTAGTCACTTAAGCTTGAGATCAAGTATTGGTTTGCTCTCAAGATTAGTAAGAGAGCTTTGTATCAAAGCTGGCTTTATTAAAATAGGATCAGTCGCATTTAATATGATATTTCCGCGCTTAATTAATCTATATTCTTTTATATTTTGATCCCTTTTTAATAAATAACTTTAATAATAAATTTTGTTCAAATAATTGCAATTGATATTATTTTATACAAAATTCGCAGATTCTGCAGATACACACGATCGTTTGGCGATCGCTCAACGCGTGAATCACCGCGTCGAGGATATCTATTAGCACTTTCGTTGCGCAAACACGTATCACGCTTTTCGTTCGCTAGCGTCGTTTCAAAACGCGTATTGTGAAAGAGCGTTTTAGCTTCATTCCGTAAACGAATCGCGGAAAAATATTTCTCTAATAACGCCCACTTGCTCTTACTCACGTCGGATAATTGAGCGGTGATCGATCCACGGATGAATAATATGACTTTACGCAACAAGAAGGAATTTCTTCGCGAAAGAGAGGAAGTTACTCACTCACAATTAATGAATTTTTATACGTTTATATAAAACATTACTCAAGAAGTATTTATAGAGTTGAAACGGGAACGGTAAAATAAAAAATTCTACATAAATTTATATTTTATAGACTTAGAGTATGAAGAAAAAAAAAAAGATTTTTATGATAATGACATTATCACAATGCTATAATTTAATCTCAAATTGGAAACAGATGTTTCTTTTTGAAGATTATTAGTAACACAACATTGTCTTGTTAATTTGGCACTGTTGAATTCAGGGGAAAATATAATAAGAAGCTTTATAAATGTGATGCTTTTGAATTGAGGCCAATGTTTCGACATAATATTTGCTTAATAATAGTGTACAAGATTCGAAAAGCAACATCTCATTTACCTAATCTTTCATTTTTTCCCGCAGACTCCTCGGACATCGTAGACTGCAAATTGAAATTAATCCTTGGCCTAATATGGACCTTGATTCTGCACTATTCTATCTCTATGCCAATGTGGGACGGCGACGACAGCGAGGACAAGGGCGCAACCCCGAAGCAAAGGCTGATGCATTGGATCCAGTCGAAAGTGCCGGATTTGCCCATCACAAATTTCACCTCCGATTGGAACGACGGTCGTGCGGTCGGCGCGCTGGTTGATGCGGTTGCACCTGGTCTCTGCCCAGATTGGCAGGATTGGAACCCCAAGGATGCGATCCAGAATGCGTCTGAAGCGATGGGCCTCGCGGACGATTGGCTCAATATTCCCCAGGTTCGTTTTAATTAATTGATTTATTTGTAGAAATATTCAACTTTTCTGCGTGCTTAATTCTTTGTAAGTTGATTACAACTTTATTGTCAATCAGTTGTGCATTTTTGAAGATATTAATTTGATTTTAATCGATGAATTTATATTTCAATCGAAATCTATTGGCAAAACGACTAATTGACTGTAAAAACTAAAAGAAATTTGTAGATGCGGTTGTAAATGAATTTTGAATTCTCATTGGAGCGTTGCGTCATTCTGGTTACAGCTCATTAAACCCGAGGAGATGGTGAACCCAAATATCGATGAGATGTCGATGATGACATACCTGTCGCAATATCCCAACGCAAAATTAAAATCAGGTGCACCTCTGCGTCCGCGCACAAATCCGAACAGGTAAGCACGATTTGTGAACCAATTGTACACTTTATCGCATTATCACAAGAACGTGTCGTATCTTTACTCGTAGCAAACTAGAACTACTGATAGCACACGAATAATTAAATGTAGTCTTTTTCTCGGTTACCAATCCAGAATATATTTATAAAATAAAAAGAACCAAGTAAAAATAATGTACAAAAGTTATCAGACACTATTTATATTGCGTAGAACTTATTTTTTGACTAAATATGATTTTTATTTTTTAAAATCATATTTATGTAAAAAATTTTGAAGTGTTACAATCAGTGTCATTTATTACAGTCTGGATCGTTCCGGAGTAGTATGAAATGATTGTATGTGATCGATTTCTTTTTGTATCGGCAGTATACACGGTAGAAAGATAAGAGACAAAATGCGTGTGTAAATTTCTGGTACGGTGACTGTGATTAATTAACCAATTTATTTCATTTCTCGGTCGCAGCATCCCACCGCCGCGGTAAGTCGCGCAGTATCATATATTTTGACATGTAACGGTTTTTGCGCAATTAATGTTCGCCGCCTTGGCCGTAGAGTGTTTGAAATTCATCTCTTTAACACAGTGCCACCTTTAATATCGCTCTTTTTGTATACATGTACACATAGATGCCTTATAGAGAATAAATAAAGTAGTAGTACGCTGGCAAATTCGCGGTTTGCAAACTTGTTGAAGAGAGAACGAGCGAGAGTTTGATTAGTTAGCAGCTGACAATCGTTCTACATTTTCTGAGTTTTGCGGCTAGATAGATTTTTCCCAAAGTCTATATGTGTAATTATTAATTATTACTTTCTTTGTATTATACATTTGTAAATAAAAGTTTTCGGCGAAAAATTGGACTAACCGAGCAAAGTAGTGGCCGCAGGTTTTTGCAGAACGTCGCGCGCTTGCAAATTGATTTAGAGAAGAACGGCGCAAATCACGTAATCACCGTAGCACAAAGCAATGCTTGTAGCTGTCTGGCAAATGGATTTACTTAACGTATTGATATAACAACATTGCGGCCGCCGGCTGGCAGCTCGTAATTTGTCTCTTCTCACGATGCTTTCTTGCGCAGAGTGCGCGCTTATGGTCCCGGCATTGAACCAACCGGTCCGATCGTTGGCGCGCCGGCCAACTTCACCGTGGAAACCTTCTCCGCCGGCAAGGGTAACGTCGACGTCATCGTTGATGATTCTAAAGGAAACAAGCTACCGGTAAGAATCAAGCCTCTGTCTGCTCAAGAGACGATAATATTCGATGTATGAATCTTCTATCACGTGCTCTTACAAAAAATATTCAATGTCTTCTTGCGAATAAAACGTCTTCTAGTAAAAAAAATACACAAGTTGCTTCCAAATATTTTGAGTAAATTTGTTATTTTGTTATGTTTATAAAATACATTTTTTTTGTATTTTAACATTGTATCTATAATATTTAAGAATTAAGAAATAAAAGGTTCGATAAAATTATAAATTTTTGTAAAATTAATTAATAACAATAAATTTTTCCGAATTTATTTTAATTAACCGGAAAATTAATCAAAAATATTGCTGAGAAAAAGCAAATATATCAAAAGTTTCGGGAACTGTTTCACTTTCTGTGAACCAAAACGTTGTGCGATTCGAATGCAGCAACCTGTATATGCCGTTCTAATATTAAATAGACGTGCTAATGGCGCTTATTGTTGAGTGCAAGGCCGGAAGTTAAGAGATGTTTATCGCAATCGGGATAATTGCGCCACAGAACGCGGACATGTATGATGTAATGACTATTTGTGTTACCGCGCGATGATTATTATCTCAATACACAGCATTTGCGATATATTGCGAGTTGAACGATCGCTGCTTCTCAAATGTCTATCCTGCTGAAACAAATGTCTCGATTGTGCTTTCAAGGTCGATATCAGATTCAACAAGGACAGGAATCTGACCTACTCGGTGTCGTACACTCCAAAAACCGAGGGTCCGCACAAGATAAAAGTGCTCTTCGCTGGCAGAGAGATTCCGAAGAGTCCGTACACCGTCAATGTCGAAGGACACGCTGGCGATCCGAGAAAAGTCACGGCGAGCGGACCTGGTCTGCAACCGGAAGGAGTCGTAGTGAACAGACCTGCCTTCTTCGACATTTTCACGAAGGACGCCGGTCGCGGTGTGCCGGAAGTTATTATCTTGGATCCGCAGGTGTGTGAAAAGTCTTGATATCGTTTATACTTATTATTACCGTCGAAAAATACATTATTATTATCTTTATTGAAATTTTATTTCTACATTTCATTTTATTGCAGGGTAGCAAACCAGCGATACCGGTGAAATTGCGCCAGACCTCACCAGACGTCTGGCGATGCGAGTACGTGTCACCAGTGATCGGTTTACATTCCGTCAATATTTTCTTTGCCGGGAAGCCCATACCCGGAAGTCCCGTCGGCGTCAACATCGCACCCGCCTCCGACGCGAAAAAGTGCAGAGCATACGGACGAGGATTGCTGCCGAACGGCGTCCGCGTCCAGGACGTCGCCGATTTTGTCGTCCTTACTAAAGATGCTGGTGAAGGTGTGCCGGACATTCGCGTGATCGGGCCGGGAGGCGTTAATCGGCCGGTGCAGTAAGTTCTTTTTCCTATTATTCTGCAGATTGTTGTTAAATTTAATTTATTATTTAATTATTTCTCTCTTTATTATTTTCGTAAAGCTTTATCTTTTTTATTTGATATTTTCTCAAAGAAGATAAATAAATGTAAAACGATTTAAATTATGCAAATTTTCAAAGAAAAGGAGATGGTGCGATGTTTTGTATACTTTATTTTATATCTAATTATTGACAAAAATTGCGTTAAATTATTGTAGAATGAGTACAATCGACGCTACAACTTACAAATGTCACTACACACCGGTTAAGGAAGGCCGTCACGTGGTGATGATTACATACGGCGGCAAGGAGATCCCCAAATCGCCCTTCGAGGTTAACGTCGGTCCTTACAAGGAGTCCAACATCAGAGCCTTCGGACCTGGTCTGCACAATGGTGTCGTCGGCCATCCGGCGAAATTCACTGTGGATACGAACGGTGAGACCGGTGCCCTTGGTTTCTCAATTGAAGGCCCGTCCAAGGCAAAGATTGAGTGCAATGACAATGGCGACGGAACCGCTGATGTTTCTTATCTGCCCACCGCACCGGGTCAGTATGCAGTCCACATCCTCTGCGATAACGAGGACATCCCCAAGTCGCCTTACATCGCGACTATCTCGCCGAAGACTGATTTCGACCCGGAGAAGGTAAATTTGCATCTCATTACAGTTGCATTGCATTAACAGATTTTTTCCACTCGAATAATTTATTTTTACACAATATCCTACGATTTCCAAACTTTCCTTTACTTAAGATAATGCGAAAAATATAAGATAGATTTTTATGTCTGATTAATGTAATATTGACTACATTAGTAACGCTGTTTGTATTAATTTGGATGTAAAATTAATACGCTAATTGTGCTTTGTAGGTCGAAGTTCACGGACCAGGAATTCAGCCGGAAGGTGTTTCCAAAGACAAACCGACGTACTTTACAGTAGATGCAAGGAAAGCTGGCCAGGCTGCTCTAGAAGTTGCCATTCAGGATGCTCTTGGAAGAGAAGTACCGCTCAGATTAGAAGACAAGCGGGATGGAACTGTCCAAGCGCACTATACGCCTACATCGAGTTCTCAACATGTTGTCATGGTATAAACAAAATGTTAATTTTCAAAATTTTTAATGTGTTTGAGATTTTTGCTGATACTTTAATCATGATCGCGATCTGTTTAATCACTGCAAAATTTATTACTACACATTTGTCATATTCTTTAAAGATTCTTTAAGATAATTGTAGTTATTGACATGAAAAACAAATATGATTTGTTAGCTTGTTTAGTTGTATAAAAAATATGTACATAAAAATCGACAACTTTATTGCAAAAACAAGAAAAGTCGGTTGATTTAGCGATATTTCTGTAAATATAAAAATATTTGTACAATTAAACTCGTAATAATGAAACAGTTTATAATGATTGATTAAAGTATTAATGAAGATCTGAAACAAAATACACTAAACAAAAACATTTCACAAAAAATAGGGAACTATTTTCAGACACTAAAAATCGAGTGATTTTCAAATCACTGAAACATGACGAAAAATCATCGCATACAAAAAATTAAAAAAATTATCTTAAAACTTGAAGTTTGCACTTTCACGTGTTTTAGACTGTTTTTTGAAAATTTTTTATTTTTACACTTCTAAGCCCAAAATAGAACATTTTGTTTTTAATATTACGTAAGATTAACACTTTGCAGTGAAAAACTGCGATATTATACCTACAAAACGCGTTTTTCTTATTTTTCTATGAATTTTTTTTTGTGAATTACGTGACTTTAAAGCAAAATTTGTTTTTTACGCTAATATTAATACTGATAATAAATTATTTTTTACAAAAAGAATTTATAGAGTTGATTGTAAAATTATGTAACTAGGACAAAAAAATCATAGCAAAGTTTAAAAAAATACATTTTTATAGGTAAAATATTGTAATTTTTGACATGTCCTAAATTTTACAAGAAAATTTTTTTATAAACAATAAGACGACCTATTCTTTCTTCGAATTCAGAAGTGAAGATAAAAAACACGTCTACAACACGTAAAAGTACAAATTTCAAGCTTTAAAGTGCTTTTTCAATTTTTTATCTGCAATGAAATTTTTTAGAAAGTTGCCCAATTTTGTGTGTTTGAAAAGTGTTCTCTATTTTTTGTAGAGTAATGTACTTTTACTATACATTTTCATGAGTTGCGAGAGTTTGCTGTAATCTTTTTACAATTTTGCTAAAATATCATATATTTTCAGGTGAACTATGGTGGAGTGGCCACGAAGAAATCACCATACAGAGTTAAGATAGCTTCGCCGTTGAATCCCGCTATGGTTTCCGCCTTCGGCCCCGGCCTTGAAAAGGGCGTGAAGTCGAACAGTCCCACGCATTTTAACATCGACTGCCGGGAGGCTGGACCTGGTAAACTGGACGTCAAATTAGTGTCCCCGGAAGGCCGGGAACTTCCGATTTCGCTGACGGATAATGAGGATGGTACATACACCGTGGATTACATGCCGCCTCAACCAGGAAACTACACGGTGAATCTTAATTACGGCGGTCTGAAGGTACCCCAGTGTCCCATTAAGGTCAACGTTCAGCCGCACGTGGATGTGTCCAAAGTCAAGGTGGATGGTTTGGAACCAAGTGAGTACAAATCCTTATTTTTTAAAGTCTTGTCTAAAATATCGATTACAACACGCTATTAATTTACTTAAAATTAAAAAATATTAAATTTATTATTTGAACAATATGTAAACACAATCGAATTATACCGAATGTTTGCGAAAACTGTATTTGAATATTCTTTAAGTGTTATATCATGCGTCATTCAAAATTATAAAAACTTGATAGCGTGTTTTGATCAGTGGCTTTTTATTGCGTTATAATTTATTGTTGCTAAATAAAACAATGTCTAATTTTTGTAATTATTAGAATTGCTACATTTAAAGAAATTTAAGAATTAATAATCAGTTTTATATATATAGTACAAGATATTACGAAGAAATAATTATACAAAGTTTTAATTTATTAAATGAAATAATTTTTGCATAATAGAAATTATGTTTCATTACATTTCTATTTTGATAACCGATTAGAATATAATCAGAGAAAGATGAATGGATAAAATTAATTTTACGATTGAGGTAAATTCTTGCACTTGGATAGAAGCACTGGCAGCGCATTAGCTCGAAAATAAATTGCATCAAAGTCGTGCTGTTTCCGGCGATCATTTAGAAAATAATTCCTGTCTCGTGGCGTACGGCCGATATTCTTTTCGGGGACTGCCATATCGTGGGTTGCGTATATTCAGCCTAGATTTTCGAAATACGCGCTGCCAAGGTCTTCGGATAGATATTTTGCTGGAGCGCAAACCGATGGTTTATTTATAGTGGCGTTCGCGAATTTCTCACAGTTGACACGCACACAGTTTCGCGTTTCGTCTAAAAATATTGCACTCGGTGCTCCACGTGTTGCGTCTTCCACGTAACTTTACCTGGAACTTTGCGGAAAAATGCAGCAAATTCGTCACGAACGTTTAGATGTTAATAATTAGTAAAAGAAAAAAAGAATAATATCTTTAAGATTGATAATATGTGATAGAAACATTTATGAAATTAATTTTTTCTCTAATTTAATATTTATTTGTAACATAATTATCAATTAATTAATTTTGTTATTTATTTTATTAGAAAATTTTATCAAGCGTTTACTGAGTTTTATTGAGTTTTTTTATGAATATAATGACGGAAAAAGTAAATTTTGTATTATATAAACTTTCTCATAAAATATCTTAATTAATTCACTAATTAATGAATATAAAACTTCAAATGATAGTCATAATGATGATAATAATAACGAGCTGCGCGTTAAATAATATTCTTACTTATTATGACCGATGGTATTTTTATGTAAAATAAATATGTTGCTAAGTGTTTTATAATCGTGAGAGATCATTATAATTAAAATAATATTTCATTTAATTTACACGCGCATTGAGCTTATATATGTAGCAAGCGGCTTTTTCTCACAAATCAATGCATATTCAATATTTGCGATTTAACCGTTAGTATAATTTCGCGCGACGGACGTCCTTTCGCACTTGCTGGTGATATTGTTCGTCAAAAACTGAACTGAAATACAATTACAATTTCTCGAAATGTCACGATCATTCTATCGTGTTTATTCATCCTTAGTCATTCGATTGCTTTTATTGTAACTTTCTCTTCGACAATCGCCTATTTAACCGGCAAGTCGACGCGACGTCCGCGGGCCGTCGTTTCGTCACGCGAGCACAAGCGAAAGACGCATCGCGGCTCACCACGCGAACCCGCAAACGTCCTCGCAGCGGCCCCGGTGAACAGCCTGCAGCAGTTCCGCGTGATAACGCAGGAGGCGGGCAGGGCGGCGGACTTCCAGGTGGCGATCACGGCACCGTCCGGCAACCGCGTCAAGGCGCACGTCGTGCCGACTCACGAGGGCTACCTGGTCAACTTCACGCCCACCGAGCTGGGCGAGTATCTGCTGGGAATCAGCTTCGGCGGCGAGCCGATCTCCAATCAACCGTACCGGCTCACCTGCGTCCACGGCTCCGATCCGGGCAAAGT